CATAGATTGGGTTGATGAGGACAACTTTAATGATGAAAAAAACTAAAAAAAGTATCTCCCCTGATTTGTAGAAGTCACTGGACGAGCTTCAACATGAGAATAGGACCTTGAGGCTGTTATTAGTGTTCAGTTGGGTTTTTTGTGTCAATTTTAATTTCCAAGCTTTAATTTATGTTATCAATGTACTTATCTTTTGTTTCATCAATGCAGTAGTGTAATAGAATGGCAATGTATGAATGGCATTGATTGTTTTATAATGTAATGGAATTTAGTGGTTTGTAATGGAATGGAATTGAGTGGTTTGTACTAGAATGCAATTGATTGTTTTATAATGGAATGCAATGGAATTGACTATTTTATAATGGAATAGAATTGAGTGGTTTGTAATGGAATGCAATTGATTGGTTTTCTGTTTGAATGAATGAATAGAATTGAATGGTATTGAATTAGAATGGAGTTGAATTGAATGATTGATGGAATCGAATTGAATGATTGAATAGAATTGAATTAAATGGAATGGAATTAAAACAAAAACATTGCAACAGATTAATAACACCAATTGTTCATACTATAATTGAAATTAGAGATACATTAAAAGTCATACCATACATATCTTCTAATTCAATAGCTGACTTCCTTCTTTTCTTCCTTGGTCTTCCAATGGGGACATGATGATTGGGAGGAAGCAAAGTGGTTGGACATGGAAATGTTTCCTACATTCTTCTTCCATTAATTGGTTCAATCTTGAAAGAATACATCTCTTTCCAATTTTTAACCAGTAAGTAGAATGAACCCATTCTTTAGTTACGCCAACATTTTGCTTATTTTTTCACATGTCCCATATAGCAACAATGGCATGTTTACAGGGTATACTAGTGAGTTCCCATATTCTACAAGAACATGTGTGTTGAACCATGTCTACCACACATTGGTCCATCCATGGACCACTCACCTGATATTTTCCATTCCCACAGAACGTACCCACACATTGAGTTGCATCAGAATTGTTTTTTCAAGCACACTTGTTGCAGTTGGAGTTAATGGTCCAACAACATTATCAATTACCTTTTGGACACTCATAATCCTTAACATATGGTACTCTCTAATGAACTCAAGGCATGTGATAGTTGGTTGGTCGCATGCTTTCTTAATTGGATTATTTATGGTCTCACAAAAGTTAATTAGAAGACCATCACAATGATCCCTCCCTACAATATAAATAAAGAATAATGTGAGAAAGTGAATCATTTTCTAACAATTAACCCAACAAAATAAAACAAACCTGTGAAGTGTGCCCTACACCAATGTTGAGGTGGAATAGCTTTGAACCATTCATAGCAGTCAGTGTTTAGCTTTCTTAACTCTTCCATAACATGGTTGAATTCTTGTATTGTTGTTGTACTTGCACAGTTCCACAACATGTCCTGAAACACCTTTCCCCACCATATTTTCTTCATGTTTTCATGAATGCCACGTAGACAAAACATGTGTTATGCACATGGATACAATGTACCAATTTCTTGCAACAAGCCCTGTACAAAAATAAACAACATTAGATGTAATGTATATAATGTACAATAAGAACCAAGTCCATTGAAATTACTTACCTTCTGTCAGTCAGATATAAAGGTAAAGTTGGAATTAGCTTGCAAATCAATTTCATCACCCAAGCACCTTAAGAACCAAGTCCATGAATTTATATTCTTAGCCTCTATGACAACATATGACAAAGGATATGTATAGTTATTGTAACGCCCGTAGATCCGGCCTACTCACTTTAGAGACAATGAGCGTCAAAAATGACTTTTTTATAGAACATTATTTAGAATAAATAATCTTACTCAAGTTATAGTATATGTCACAAAGGTTCTATACATATAAATAACGCCGAAATCCGAGTTATAACGAAGAAGTTATGACCCGTCGAAGTCTTACGACAAAATTGGCGCGTCACCGGGAATCGTAAAAAAGTAAATTTATGATGAAATACTTTCTAGCCTTAGCGATCTAGACGAAAGTAGTAGTATATGTTAAACTGAGAGCGTGCATAAAAAGAACGTCCAACTCTGACTTCGTATGAGGAAGTTGTGATTTTTCTAAGATTTAGCATAGCAGTGCACAGCCCGAAATTCGAATTTTAGATCGGTAGATTTTCAGCCAAAATGATCTAAACAAGAAATGAAGATATCTTTAATATGAGTTAAAAAATAAAAATACAGATGAAAACAGAACTCGTATGCGAAAGATATGGACAAAGCTTAGTCTCTACTCTTCGAGCGCGGCGAATTCGATACAGTTTTGTAATTCCGAGATAGAATGAGAATTAGTTAACGGTGTCTAAATGAAAGTTGTAGTACTCATAAATACCAACACATGGATATAAATAACATCGAAAAAGAAGCTCGTATGCGAAAGATATGGACGAAGCTTAGTCTCTACTTTTCGAACGCGGTGAATTCGAATATAGTTTTGTAAATCTGAGATACAATGAGAAATTAGATGACGAGGTCTAAATGAAAGTTGTTGTACTCGTAAATACTAACGCGTGGATATAAATAACATAGAAAACAGATCTCGTACGCGGAAGATACAAACGAAAATTAGAGATTACTCTACGATAAAATCCCTATAAATAAACGATGAATCCTTCATATTTTCTTCACACCATAACCTCTCTTTCTCTATCTAACTTCTCTCTAGCCTCCCTAAACCCCTCCCAAGTCTAGGGAACCTCCCTACCATGAGAAGGAAACCCCAGAGCGCCCGACGGCTCCGAGAAGAAGAGCTTTCAGCTCGGAAACACTGCTCCAGCGAAGCTCGGTTTTTTTAATAAAAAACTGTTGTAAGTGAGTTACGCCTACACTATTTCTAATATAGCTTTTATTTAAAATATAGTAATGTTATTAGGACCTTATAATAATTATTTGGGCTATTATTATGAGTTATATAAGTGTCATTATAATATCTTTTTAACCACTTGCGGTACGGGGAATCTGGTTTAAATGGCCGCATAGGGTTGTTGGATTTTAGAAGTGTTATATGCCAAAATGGTCTTGCCCTCCAGTGTTTTATGTATGGCCCATGTCTGTACATAGTGGTTGGAAAATATTATTTAAATGTTTATAATAATGATAATAATGCTAAGACTAATAATTAGTCACGGTAAATATTAGACTAAAATCTAGTGGTAATAATATTAGGTTTCATCGAAGGAAATTATATAGTTAAGAAGCGAAGTGTTGTCCGAGTTTGGAATCATCACTTTAACAAGTGAGTGCTTAGTTACTTTCATCTTACACATAGATATTAAGTATTTTATATAAATTACGTGACATGTGTGCATATTATCTAGTTGTCTATGTTGGATGAACGATTTTATACATGTTTTAAATGATTTAAACTATATATTTATTTTATATCTACAAATATGTTGGGATAAAACATGGGTAGATGAAATAGTTGATATGTGATGAAATAAAATGATGAGAAATAGGTGATGATAATTAGGTGAGGACAGATAGGTGATGATGAATCAGTGATGTAGGATGAAAGATACTATAACCTTGTCCGACAATTTGGAGATGTAGTCATCTACCAGAGTATAGATGGCGACCACAGACTATTATAGACAACCCCGTGGAAACACCAGCAGGCTCATAACTTGCAGGTGATGAATTACAAGATCAGGCGATGTTATAACTACGTATTCATGCGATGATACTCTAACCCCTTACTATGAGTTACGAGTTCAGGGGATGTTGTAACTACGTATTCCTGTGATGATACCATAACCCTTGTTGGACACGTATTGAGGGAGTAATCCCTGAATCAATATTGTCTATGCGATGTAGGCGATGATCCTTAGGGAGATTCCTTAGGAACAAACATATAAGGAAATGCGATGTTAAGGAGATGAGAGGTAAATATGATGTAGGAGACGACCCTTAGGATAAATCCTTATGGAAGGTACTTAGGAATAAAGAAGATAATGGGGATGGGTAATTGGGTTAACTGTTTGATGATTAAACATAATAATTATATTATTGTTGGTTGAAAAACCTATGTACTCACCAGGTTTCCCAACCTGACCCACTCAGTTTACTTGTATCACAGGTGACGATGTGAAGTTACATTACACTGAGAGATTAAGGAGATATAGATCACTAGTGTAAATGAATGCTGCCAGGAAGATTCGATCCCAACGACCGCCTCGCAAGACCTCTATACTTTTTTCTTGCCTTTCCTTATTTTCATTTCAGGAAATCCACTTCTTTACTAGAGAGAACTCGATTTGAAGCTTTCATTCCTCTTCGGGTGGTTTGCTTTCTCTTTATTTAGCTATTGAGCAAAAAGATTTCGCTACCTTTCTGCGTCAATCATGTTTTCGGGGGGTTCGTAAGCTGCAAGAAAGGAGAGAGAGGCAGGCTATCTCTTTTTTGAAGTCAGTGCTTGTATGTTTCTGTATTGATGATGACATCCCAAATGTTTTAAAAGGAATAAAAGTACATTTCTTCGGAAATGCTTTGATAATGAAATTATCATGTTTTTCTGGGAACAAATTCCGCAACATTTTTATTGAAAGGGATACTCTGATTTTTATAAAGCATAAACAAAATCGGTCTTTTCTGGCTGTGAAAATGGGGATGTCACAGTTATTTCCATCAAGACCCTAAGCATAGTGAAGGAGTTAGTAATTTAAATAAAATGGAATAAAATGTACATTTATTTACATCTTACTAATATTATGAGTATCATCCCAGGATAAGGCCCTTTCATAAAAGTCCCATCCAAACCAAGGTAATCTCTTTTACCAGCTAGAAAACCTTTCTTCAATGGCCCTAGACAGATGTAGATCCGTTTGAAAGTTCTAGTCTCAGAAGTTGGGTTTGGCTCACTTTCGACCTCTATCTTAACTATTGTCCCTGGGTTTCGAGTGTGAAGTTCTTGAACATAGTCTCTTAGTGTAGTATATTGCCCTGCATAATCACCCCTTACTTGATTCAATGCTTCTGTTTAGCCCTAAGTACCTTCATCTTCGAAATATCTACTTGGTATTCACGTTGAAGTTGTTCTTGTAAAGCTCGGGTAAGGACTGTAGGGTTGCTTTCAATCTGTTGCACTATTTTCCTGGCCAGGAACTTGTAGGTACAAGCTTTCACATTTCTTGTTTGTAGATATCTATGCTCTTTTCCGTAGGTCTTGATCTCCCAGTCAACATCTTGTTCCCACTTGCTAGCATAAAGTACCCATTGACACTTGTTTTCTTCACTTTCTTTATTGCTTTGACTGGGCCCACATGGGTCAAGTTGACCAAGGTCTGCGAAAGTACCTTTACAAATAGCTCTCACTCTATTTTTGTCATTTTTTTATGAAGTCTCATTCCCTCCTTATCTCCACAGCATGTTTTCTTATTGCATCTTTCAATTATTCAGATGAGGTGAATTTTTCGTACACATAGAATGGATCACTAACTCTTGCTTCACTATTTTCCATTGCCTTTTGGATTGCCTTAATTGACTTTCTTCTCCTGTTGCTCCCACCTTCATCAGATGATGGCTCATATAAGAATACCTCATTGTTTACAACCTCAATATCATCAATTTCCCTTGTTTCTATTTCCTTGACATTTGACCCTCAAATATCACCCATCCACTCTATATTTTCATCAAGATTTAACAAAAATTCATTCATGTCTATCTCAGGTTCATCTAGGAGGTTATCTAAGTCTACTAAGAACTCACTATCATCACTATCATCAGCATCATCTTTATTATCACTTTCATGAGTAATCCCTCCAGGTTCTTCATTTAAAATTTCATCAAATATACCTTGTGTTTAACATTGGGCATCAATTTGGTTACTTTTAGTTTCTTTTGTTGGCACAACATCTGGTTTACTTGATCCAATACAATCCCTTGTTTCAGTTTCCTTCCATTCCAAAAATAACCTTCTACTACACAAAGGTTGATCAATGATTTCTTCTATCCTAACTTTACTAAGGGTAGATGACATTGTATATGTATGCAACATTGTTTTACCATGTTCAACATAAACTTCAATCAGTTTATGTTTACCTACGTATGTACCCAAATGGTTGATGTCACTGTCACTAGCCAATACAAATAACCCAAAGTCCAAATCTGAAAAGGGTCTTTTAAAGTGGTAATAAAGCAACTTACCCTCCTCAACATAGCCTAGGGTCTCCATCATCTCATCAATATCATGCACACAAAACTCATCAATGTCCAATAGATCAACGTATCTTTCTTTGCCCTTGATGTAGCTCTGTCCAGGAAACTTCCTAAACTCTCCACCATAGAATAATCTAGTAGAGAAGATAGTTGCATGACCAGCTGTAAAAGAGAAAGCTTCAACTTATTAACTTGAAATTTGTAAGTGATAAATTTAACTTTTGAAAATAAGTGGTTACCGTAATGTTTTTCAACGTCTATTTCTTCCATGTTTGCTCTAATCCTCTAACCCACCATTGTTGCTTCGATGATTCTTGCAGAATATTGAGGAGTTAGGGTTTCTACTCGATTTTGATGAGTTACAAATTAAGTGTGTGTGTGTGTGAGAGAGAGAGAGAGAGTAAGAGGGAGGTGATCGTAAAATGATCAGAATGAAGAAACAATTGGCATTGCATTTAGGTGTCATGTATAAAATAACGAAAATACCCCTCATATGTGAAGCACGTGGGGGACTTAACTTTTGGAATTGACGACTAACGGACCCAAGGACCAGGAGGGTAGTAAAAAGAAAACGTGAGGATGGTCCGAGTGCAAAACAAAAGAGAGGGACCAAACACGCAACTTTAGCCAAACCATAGGGACTATTTCAGTAATTTGTTCTAAAATTTCAGGATCAAGGATATTATAGGATCCATATCACATGGTTATTATTTAGGGTTATTAAGATCCTAATAGTTTGTATAAACTCTAAACTTCTTAGGATCTTAATTATCTGAAAAGCTTTTGAAAAACTCATTATCCTATTTCTACAACCAAAGAAACCATGCAAGAAAAGAGAAAAAACCAAAGCATCATATCTTTTGAATGGATACAATTCTATCCGTTAGATTCGAGTTTCAAATCCTTTATTTCCAATTAATTAAATTATACAATTTAAATACTTGAAATCAATTTAATTATTTTGTAGGTATAATTGGGGGCAATTTTTAGGGGTCAAGATCCTGAAACCTATCCAGGATCTCGGATCATTAAGGAGTCATAGGATCCTGAACATACATCAAGATCCTGAACACCACCATTTTTATTTCCTAACAAGTTTAACAGCTATATATCTTGCTTATTTCTTACATGTGTAGAAACGGTCAACATAAGACTCGTTCACAACGAAGAATCACTTCAACCAGGCTTAATACCTAAGAATACCAAGTCAAAGCATGTTGCAAATACCAGATCAACAGGATCTCGAAATTATCGGTCTTTTAGTTACATAACCTAGACAATATATACACTTGTAATATGCACATAAAGACACAATTAACTGAAAACTTAGACACCTTGATCTACTAAAACACTTGTACTCGTTTCTTCATTATTTTTTCTATAATTTACTCTTCAATCAATAAAATCAAACAAGTCAGGTGATCGCTAACACCTCCCAAGGTTTTATGTTGGAGATCCTATCAAGGATCAATGGCTTTCCTTGTAGACCAGTTATGTCACTTCGATCTCAATCTGATACTCATATTATTCATAACACGACAACCTTTCATGCAATTTTTTTGATGTCCATTTGATCGATTTTTTACCAAAAGAGTAATGCTCCCTCCTCTCAACCTCAGGTTCCCAAGTCCAAGGTTTTAAGTCCTTAATCCAATAATCCTTCAAAACCAACTCTTCTAGAAGCTTAAGGGGACCCTAAAGGTCCATAAAAATGTTTAATTTATGGGCATGCATGCACCATGAATATCCCCAATCCATTCTAGTTCAAAAGTAGAAATTTGGCATAAAACTCTCATGCATGACTCCAATACATCACCAACTTCTAGATCTGGATAATATGATGTTCAAAGGAACCTTAGAATCCATAAAGTTAGCAACTTTATGGATCTTCTTCACTCAAGCTTGATTAATCATGAAGGAATATGACAAAAACCTAGATCTAGCCTTAAAATGAAATAAAGTTTGAGCCTTTGACACTTACAAATGTCCAACTGGAAGAACAGATGATGATGATGATGATGATGATGATGATGATGATGATGATGATGATGATGATGCTTCTTTGCATCTCCACCACTAGAACACCTCTGTTCCATTCTTCTCTTATTCTTCAAGCTAAAAAAAGTGCACCAAATGGCTAAGGATCTCTAAGAAGGTTGTAATTAGGGTTTCTGTAGGCTAGAGAGTAAGGGAGACTAAGGATGAGTAACCCTAGCCTCCTCATTCCATTAAATACCCGAAAAATAAGGGTTTTGGTCATAAGACTATTTCACATCATGACTAATAATGACTCACATCGTGAGACTCAAAAATGGGAGTTAGCAAGTCAAAGTTAACTCACGATGTGAGTCAGCGAGTTAAAGTTAACTCACGATGTGACTGGCCATAGCTCACATCGTGACCCACTTCCAAAATGTCAAAATTCTCGAACTTGAATACCTCTAGGATCTGAATGTTACATGTGGTGCAATAATGTACAGATGAAGTTTTGATTTCCAATAAAACAAACATATGTCAACTTCCAAATCAAAAGTTTGTTCAATAACAACTGGCGGTCAAACGATTATGGAAATCAATGTTCTTCGAGGGGGAAGAGAATTTAAATGTGACAACAAATCTCTTGATTAAATGGAATCCTTCCATCTCCACGTAGAGCTCCTCAAATCAAGGTCAAATTTGATATTGACACAAATGGTATCCCTTCAGTCGCAACCATTGGCAAAGGAACAGGAAAGAAACAGGAAATTACTATCACCACTGCTAGCACATTGCCTTCCGATGAGGTATGATTTAGGGTCACTACGTAATATGCTATGTTTCGGGTCAATGGATATTGAGGAAGTTTTTAGTTTTTTGGTAGGCAAGGAGGACGATAGCAGAAACTGAGACGTATGGAGGACAAGGAGAAGAGGGAGGTCATTGATAAAAACACACATCAACATAAAAAATGTTTCATCTATGGTGGTGGTCGTCAGTGGATTTGGGAGGGGGGGAGTACATGTGGCTGTTCTATTCAAGGGATAACCGGGTTACCCCTTCGTGTAACGACCCAAAATTTAAGACCAAAACTTTCTTTTAATAAAACATTACTTTAAGCAAAGTCATCATTCCAAAACATAATGTGAGTATAAGTTTTCAAAACACATGTTCATTATCAGAGTAAACATTCTCAGGTTGTCTAATCTATGGTGTGTGCCATGAGATAACCCCGAGCTCTTCCCTCCACTACCGGAAGTACCAGAAACCAAAACTGAAAACCGTAAGCACGAAGCTTAGTGAGTTCCCCACCCTACCACATACCATGCATAACCACATACTGCATATACTGGGCCACGCCCGCTATCTTGGGCCTCGCCCCCTACCTCGGGCCTCGCTCGCTACAACGTCCCCGCCGCTCCAGGTCCCGCCTGGCTTCGAGCCCCGCTCGGATACAGATCTGTTTTACTTAGGCCTCGCCTGTCATAGGGCCCCGCCCACCAACAAATAATAACACATACACATATCACAACACATAAGTTAAACTCATATGACTAATCCTGTCCTAAGGCCTCGCCTATCCTGGGTCTCGCCCTTGTCCTGCTACTGATGAGTCATGGAACCCCGTCCACGCTCCTACTAGTAGTGAGATACGGGCCCAGCCCACTCTCACTCCTTCTCTAGCTTGGGCCTCGCCCCTGTTCTGCTACTAATGAGATATGGAACCCCATCCACAATCTGCTATTGGTGAGATACGGGACCTCGCCCACACTCACCTCCTTACCAGGCACATACATGTATCACACAGACAATAAGTATAACCTATCATATAAACAAATCCTTGGGCACCCGACCGCTATTACTGGACCTCGTCCTGAATATCATACTAGCATATTGTGCCTAGGGCTAACCCCCGGGTCTTCTACTCATAACTACATGGGCCGGCATTGTGGCCTTAGACCCATTCACACAAAAGGTAAACTCACTTGCACTGGCTGAACTTGCTGATGATCTTACTAGTTGCTGCCCGGCAACTCACTGAACTCCTGCTCCCCTTGCTCCCCGAACTACCAATATCAAAGCAACACTGAGCCTAACTGACCGTCGAAAGACAACCAAGTCAACTCCGGTTAAAGTCAAAGTCCTGGTCAAAGTCAACCTTCCAGGTCAACCCTACTCGCCGAGTCACCCTACTGACTCGCTGAGTTCAAATGTTAAGATTCCTTCCATTCATATCTCGACTCGCCGAGTCAGTCCATGACTCGCCGAGTCTACCGATTTTTGAGTCCTGACATGTCCAACTCACCGAGTCTCCACCCGGTTCACTGATTCGAGTCTCAAATCGAAGGGTTTGGGGTTTCGCAACTTGACTCGCCGAGTCCAAGAACAGACTCGCCGAGTACAAGGCAATCTTCATCTGACTCGACGAGCTGTTCATCCCACTCGTCGAGTTGCTCCTCACCTTCATGCTACTCGGTGAGTCCACTCAAAGGACTCGCCGAGTCCATTCAATTCCCTTTACATGAAGAGGGCTTTTGATTCATGCAGGGGTTCCAACTCATAGATCCATACTCCCAAAGCTCAATCCTCATGTAAAGTTGCAAACTTTACGTATAACTAAAGAGATCTAGGCTCAAAACACTCTAGGGCTATGTTTTGGGACAAAAGGGCTTCACCAACTCCTTATCTTTTGATGCTTTATGACATATTAGACCATACCAATACTAGATCTGAACTGGCAACAACATATCTAGGCCCCAAACTCGAATTGGGTCTCAAACAACCATAAACCCCCCCCCCCCCAAATCTTATAACAAAAGTAGATCTAGATGTAAAGGAGGGAAGATAGCAGCTTGTTACCTCCAAGATGAACACAACTGAAGTAGATCTCGGATCTACACCTCCTCCTTTGAAGCAACCTTCTTGATCTTCAAGCTCCTTTCCAAAGTTTCCTTCCTCCAAGCTATTTCTCTCAAATGATGGAAGCTCACAAGAAATCAAGGGTTTACTGGTTCTCTAGGATGATATGGGGGCTGAGGGAGGGACATAAAACCCTTTAAATAGGATACAACTCATGGGATTAGGGTTTTCCTTGTTCAGACCAGACTCACCGAGTCACCTTGGCCGACTTCACTTACTCCTCGACCCGGATCCCGCTCGGACTCGCCGAGTTCCTCCTTGGACTCGCCGAGTAGCCCCTTAAAATTAGGGTTTTCTTTCCTTTCTTGGCCTTCCAAACTTTGGGTGTTACAAATCTCCCCCACTTAAACTAAACTTCGTCCTCGAAGTTTGCT